TTGTTATATACAGTATATATTATATGATCAATATATAATATACAATATATAATATATATTACACTATACGATAAATAAATCTACTCTTATTTTAATATTATTTATTTTTGCAAAGACTATTTTATTTATCACTGTTTTTGAAATAGTTGAAAATGACAAATAAATTTTTTTTTCAATGTATATCCGAATACCTATACACCTGATTAGCTTAGAATATTGATTAAGATCGATACATAATTCTGTAATTGTTAATATAAATGACTATTGTTTGGTGAATAATTACAGAATTATATAAAATTGAGTAATAACCTTCAATCAATACTCTAAGCTAATTGGGTGTATAGGTGTATAAATGTTTGGGGGTATGTCGAAAAAAATTTTATTTGCTATTTTTAACTATTTTTTTTTTATTTTTTTTTTATGTTTAAGCAATCCTGCCTTTATTCATATAAGCTGTTATATAATTCATATACACAAATATATTAAATTTTTACAACTTGTAGCTCTAATTTAATAAAAACTCACTAGGTAAAAACTCAATATTATCTGCTATAACAACTATTAGTCTTACTCGAAATCCAAAACTTAATTCAAATTTTGATTATTGAAATGATATTTCTCTTGATCATTGATAGGCTGTCTATACCGTATTAGGATTCTCTTTTTCGCTTCTAATTCTTTCTTCTTCTCAAGGGGCACAAAACAAAGAGAGAAATTTTTTTAAAAGAAAAAAATGAAAATGACCAAAAAAAGAAAAAACAGAAAAGAAAAAAGAAATACTAATTGTGAAAAAGAAAAAATATGAAAAGAAATCTAAAACTCTAAAGGCACTATTATAACTCGTGTATGGCTGATAAAAATTATATAACAAATACAATATTTGTATATCTCTACTGTAAAGCTTCGCCTTAATGTTAAAATTTACTTTCTGATCCTCCGGTTAGCTTTGTTGCCAGTCCTAATTTATATCTTAAGTCAGGTGCTGCCATCATCTGAGAACCTGTGTCTCAAGCCACCTGCTGCTATAATTAGAGTTCCCAGGCTGAGTCCTATAAAGTAGAAAAATATTTATCTATAAACAAGCACGTGGTTGCATTTTGCTAATCTGTTCAGATTTGGGAAGTAAACAATGCTGATCTTTTGGAGAGAATAAGCCAAATCTCCACTTTTTGTGCAAAATTTTGGAAGACCAATAGGAGGACAAGTAGAAGTAAGAAAGAGACCACCTGGCCAAATAAAAGAGTGCAGCTTGAAGAAAAGCAAATTCTTGTTGTTTCCTCTGTATTTCTCATTTCAAAGTAACAGCTTAAGTGCTTTGTTGATGGAAAAGACTTTAGTCTCTCCACCAAGATTTTGTATCTAAGGGCACATACCTCTTGCCAGTTATCTTGTATACTAATGCTCTTGGCTTGCATATCAAACATACAACTTATAAAGAAGTCCCAGAAAAGAAAAACTGTTAACCTCTAGGCAAACCACACATTAGGCCACAACTCTTCAACAAAAGTTTTGTTTTCTTTAGTAAAAAATTCTGGTTCAAATAATCATTGGGAAGAGTTTAGTGTATTTGATTTTTGATTTTTAACTATTTTGAAAATAGCAATAATATATTATTATATAATTTTATCTTTACAAAATCATTAATATAAAACTTTAATTCTTTTTTAATATTTGATATATAAAAAAAATAAATCTATATTATACTTTTTAATTTTAAAACTTAAAACTATTATATACAGTATAATATTTTTTACTAAACTACTTCAAAATAAAAAATTTTTTTTGCAATTGGCTTGTAAGAGTATAATAGTAAATATAGTTTTTGTTAATTTTTACAAGTGTATATATTTATTTTTAACAACTTCCTATTATATAGAAAGTATTAAATAAGAAAAATATTCAAAATTCCAAGATACAATTTTTGCTTTGTACTTGTTAATTAGATTGTTAATTTACAATATTTTTTTGTTATAATGCAAATTTTTATAGTAATTAAATACCAATTTACAAATATTTTTTTTAAAACTATAGCTTTGGTAGTTTGAATAAAGAAAATAAATTAAAAGATATAAAGAAATGCCAAATTGTTTAAATTAAAAATTAAATACTATAATAGTAAAGAAATAAAAATTATTACTACTATAATTTGTAGCAAATAATACCTTGGGTCTTTTATATTTCTAGAAGCAAGATTTTGATTAATATTTAGTAGATGCTTTGTCAGATGACAGGTATTTTATATAGAGAAGTTTATATAAGAAAAATACTTTAATTGATTAATCATTTAATAAAATTATAATAAAATTAAAAAAAAGTTATAAAAAAATTATGCACTATATAAATTATATTCTAGATATATTTGGGTTTTTTACAATCATGTTTGTGATAAATATTTGATTAATTTCAAGTACAAATCATAGAGATATACTAAAAAGAAATACTATTTACAAAAAATTACAATACTATAAACTACCAAATACAATATCTACTATATACATCAAAAAAATTTTAAATTGGTTTCAATCGATTAACAGAAAGAAATGTCAATCAGTAAGTAGCACTCCTGCCGATTATTAGCAATACTGATTAGAATTGATTGACAACAAAGCTGCTAATTAAAATTAATTAGAATCGCTTTGATTGAAATCAATTAATATTAAAATTATACTAAAATCAATTGTTTTTTTAATTGATTAGCTACCAATATTATATAGTTATTTGGCAAGTAGTACAATTATATCATGATCTGCGTGATTATGATATTATTGTTACACTGACAAATAATGGAAAGTACAGTCAGGGGATATACCAAATATGGACATCGGGTTCTAGAATGATCTGCGTGCCAATTCTCAAATTTGATTGGCTCTTGCGCACTTCATTGTCAGCATTCTTCAGGAATTTTTTATACCCTTAATTCATTATTAGAAACTTAAAAGCGAATGTATAAATTAGTAGTAAAAGACGTCAAGTTTAGATAATCAAAAATAATCAATAATAATCAGTTCTAGTTGGAAAAGTAAATGAGAGCCAAAATTTAAGAATCTGTTTCACTTAAGCTAAAGCGTAGAAGCTTAATCTTGCTAATCTAAGTTTATACTTTAAATATTTTTTTTAGAGTATTGGCTTTCTAGAGACAACTAAAACAACAAGCAGAACTTGAATATCTTTTTACTAAGTTAATTAAAACATGTAGTGACATGCTTAAAATTTTGTAATACTGATTTTTAAAGATGACATGCTGGTAAGAAATAAAATTAAGCAATACAATATAGTTAAGTAGTCTAATTTTTATATTTTACTTGTCTACGGCAATTTGAATTTATTATACTAATAATAATTTATCTTCATGATTTTAATTTCTTGAATACTTTTGAGATATTATATTTTTATACTGGTAAGTTTTGTATACTAAGGTTTAAGTATCTTTACTTGCATGAAAAAAGTACAAATCATGAAAACTTAATGCATTTTTTTTTTTTTTATATGTATTGTTTCAAATTCAATAGGGTATTCCGAGATAGTTAAATATTAGAATAGGTTGCTCCAGAGAATTTGTTAGGTCAAAAGCTTATAGTTTTAGAATTATCATATTAGTTATGTTTATTGGACAAAGATCATTCGAATGGTATGCTATTTGATAAGTTAATATTATTCATATAATGAATAGCCTAAATTCGATCCTGGAATTCCTAAATATTATACTGAATTAGCCAAGCAATGCACAAGTTCAGATGAATTTTCTGATATAAAGAACTACTGAATTGTATAAATATTAAAGTTAGATATTAATTAATAAATATTGATAATTAAAGGTTAATTAATAAATAAACTGCATAAATAACCTGAATAATGCTTATACAGTATACTTAAAGTTACCATACTTTAAAATAAATTTCGCTATAAAAAACATGAACCCTTTCGAGATTTTAAATTTTAATGATATGATGAAGTTACATTACAAGAATATAAATAGATTTTTAATATCACATATATTATTAAAATTTATATTAGAAAAAACTTATTACATACGATTAATAACTAATCTTCACTCTAACAAACATTTTCACACCTTGCTCTAATACATAACTCCATATTAGCTTTACTCTAATACATATTTTCATTTTAACCCTTACTCTAATACACATTTACGCCTTAATCTTTATTCTAACAATATATATTTTCATTCTAACTCTTATCCTAATATACATTTTCATTCTAACCCTTACCCTAATATACATTCCTATCTTAACCGTTACCTAGCTTTATCCTAACATACATATTTAGGTTTTATTCTAACCAGATTATATATTATACATTCAGCTTGTAAGTATGAAGAACATAAATACTTATTACCATTGCATCTGTAAGTATAAATATTTGGTAAAGTTAGAATTGGCAATAAGTTCATAAACCAAGAAGATGAATACTTATTTTTTATCATTATGTGATACTCTTTAAATTGTTTTATTCACATTAATACTATTTATTAATCAATAAGATTAATATTAGCAAATCAGGTTCACAAGCCAAAAACAGATCTTTAGCAAATGAAAAGATTTGAAGAGCATCACATAATATTATGTTCTAGCTTGATTTGCTGATTTTTGTTTCATTACTTAATAGTTTTTATCTTGTTTATGTGAATGAAAAGATTTGAAGAGAATTATGTAATAATAAACAAATATTTAACTAATTAATAAAACCAAAACCAACAAACTATATTTACAGATCAAGAATATAAATACTTATTACCATACCTAACATTCTTCAAATCTTTTCATTCACATTAATTATTTTCCAGTTTGTGCACATAAAGATCATTAGTTGATATAATTATTTTGGGTTCTCAATTAAGAATATAAATCTTTACTTCGTTAGAATTACTCATGTTTGCTGATTTTTGATAATGAATAAATGCCTTCTTTTTAGCCTTTTAACGCAAATCTTAAGCCTGTGTATTCTATATTTCTGCTGATTTTTAATCAATAAAATTAGTTATGCCAACTCCGGTTTCATGCTATTATTAATAGAATAAATGCATAATTACGAGCTGTACAACATGTATTGTGTTTTTTATAAATTAGTCAAAAAAACAGATTAGTAAAAGAACAATTATATAACTTATTAGTTATTACAGTATTAGCGTTGATTTGATTTGCCAGTTAACATGTGATTCTAGAATCATCTGATTGGTGATCCTATACCATAAAAGGAGTGATCGACACTGTCCAAATATAGAAAAATCTCAGATACGACAGTTATTGGTGTGTAGCGTCAAATAATGATATTATCTGTTAGATTATGACGATCGAGCATAAAGTAAAGCAAATAGAAAGAGTAAATTATTAATAAATTTTATATATTTAATTCAATTCAATTTATGTATTTACTATAACGAAAGAAAATTTATATGAAATTAGACTACATCAACAAGTAACAGTTTAGTATCACTATGACATATTTAAAAAATTTTGACAAAAGTTTAATTAAAAGTAAATAACATAGTTTGTTTTGATTATAAATACTTAAATTGATCTAGGATCAATCACTTTCTGTTCACTTAGTAACAAATATAAATACAATGAAAAATAAATACTATAAACCTACTAATGCTAAAATCAACGAAATAATTAATGGCACAATTCCAGAGAATACCCAAAAAGCAACAGCAAAATGGGTAAAGATTTTAGAAAACTGGAAGCACGATGTAGGGTATGATTATAGAATTGAAACAGTTACAGATAAAGACCAGTTTGAGCAAGAGATGACTGAGTTTATTCTGGAAATTCGACAAGTCAATACAAATAAAGAATATGCATCATCATCTTTGATCAATTGTATTAAATTACTCAGTGTTTATATTCTAAAGCATCCAAAGAGTACTAATATTTTTAATCTATCTAATAGAAAAGAATTTTCTCATTTATAGAAAGCACTAAATGGTAAAATGAAAAAACTCAAAAAAGAAGGTTTAGTATCACATCATCATGACTATTTCACAGATACTGAGTTACAAACTATATTTCAACATTATAAAATTGCTAATAATAGTCCACAAGGCTTACAATATCGGGTCTTTATGTGGTGCTGTTTGCTATTCCAACCTCATGGTAGTAAACATTATAACATGTTGATAGAACAGTTTGAGTTTACTTCTGATAGTGGAATGCAGTTCAAAAAGTATTCTCAAAAAAATGACCAAAGTGGCGTAGATGGTAATTCAAATATACTTATCATACCTGTTCTAGCTGATTCTAAAGGTTCTCAAGGCCCTGTTTATAATATCAAGCTTTACTTTTCAAAAAGACTATTAAACTCTAAATGTTCATTTCTATATTTAAAAATCAACAAAAAAATTAGTAGTAAGTAGTAATTAATTTTTTTAATTTATTTAATGAATACTTATATTTATGAAATCACAAAAATTTAATTTTTTTTTTTAAATTATTTATCTTGATTTAGATTATTCGAAAGATCTATAGTATCTCGATACAAGATTAGGATCAAAGTCTTGTGGATCTTTTATGAAAGACATCTGTACTACAGTAGGAATAGACATAAAAGACCGTGATATTGTCAATCACTTAGGTCAATCAACCTCAATTACTTCTCTTTTTCAAAAAGGTGTCACAATGGGTACTACCATGTCTATTACTAGGCATAAAAGTAAATCATCTTATTGAATTTATGCTCATCCCTTTAACAAACAAAAGGAAAATGCTTTATCATTATTAATTGATAGTGTCGGGACATTACCTTCTAATTTACAAGAATCAGAAACTTTAACCAAGGTTAGTAGTCTTAATTTAAATACATATATTTTAAACTTTTATTAATTTTAAGTTATTTATAGGATGATATAGAGGATTTGAAAGATGTATACTTTGAAATTTATTGCATATAATACTGTAATAAATACATATAATATTAATATTTATTTATTTTATTTTTAGCCCAAAATTTCTTCCTTTAAATTGGCATCTGAACTTAATCTTAATTTAACTAAGCTATTTCGGCAATCTTTGCGCAAAACTGCTAAAACAAACTTGCCATTACATATTAATGCCATGAAGAAAAACCCTACGATTGGTGGGCGGCAAAATATTTATAAACCTTCTCATGAAGATGAAGATAATTTTTCTGAGAATACTTCTGGTATATCAGTTGTTAAAAACTATTATATAACTGCAACGCATGTTAATTTCAATTAAATGTATATCAATCTTATTATAGTAATTGTGTTTTTATTGAAAAATGATATAATTAGTCAATAGCATTAGCAATAAAATAGTAAATCATAAAATAAATTAAATGCTTTGAATTTAAAAGTATATTGATAAATCGATAAAATACTTTTGCTGAATAACCAAAATAAGCTATTATTTTTTGCCAAATAACCAAAATAAGATATCATTTTTTGCTGAATAACCAAAATAAGCTATAGATTTTTGCCGAATAACCGAAATAAACTTTTTTCTGCCAAACAATCTGAGTTATTTGGCAGCCTGATCATAGTAATCTGATGGATAATGATTATTATTAATTTTCTAATCGATAACAATTGCCTCTACAGCTGGTAATCAATATTTACCTTATTTAAAAATTTCCTGATATATTAGACTTATTTTATTTTTATTTTTTATTTTTATTTTTTTCAACTTCGACAATTTTGTCATTAACTTTATTACTTATTTAAGTGAACATTATATATATTTACATATACTTTTAACCTATCTAAGTAGTCATTATGATCTCACCCGGCTACCCTATATGGCGCCTAGATGCAACCGCCTGCACTATTTCACATGTGAGATGGAAATCCTCGAGTACCTCTATCAAGAAGCACCCTAAGTTCTGACCTAACTCAGAACCTTAATGTATTTACTAATTCATATATATCCCACTATATATACTACTGTACAATGTCTACCAGTTATAATCCACCTCTTAACACTTATCACATTACTCCTAATTCATTTCTTGTATAATTTTCAAATTGGTGTCCTAGGAGTGGGCGCTCTTCATGCTTCCAGTTTGGTGTCCCTCGAGATGCTACTTCAGTTCCTAATCCGTATTTCAAGCCAGATGCTGCCGCTATCCGAAGACTCTATCTCAAGCCACCTGCTGCTGCTATTAGGAGAGCTGTTCGCATAGTTCCAGGTATTTACGTCATACACCACCAAATTAGGCTACCACTCCATTTATAGTACTTTCTATCGGTATGGTATTACAGAAGTCTAGATCCTTAGGACGGGAGTTAAGAACCTCATTTAATTACTGTCACAAGCCAGTAATCTGGGACCTGCATTTCTGTTATGTTTCGTTATGCTTCCACGACTCCCATATAGGTTGTGCGATACATTACTCACTAGCCGACTTTATTTTTGTACTACCAGAGCGCTTGCTTTCATGCTTCGGGATTTCTTTTAACCGGTTTTCCTTGTTTTCTTGTGCCAGAGGTGTTCCATATTTGGTAAAGCCATTCTCTTACCACAGCCCCTTACTATATTCACTGCTTCTCTCACCACTTCTGGATATACTGC